AAAAACATTTTTTGTTATCCTTTACGACTGTCATTTTACGTTAATAGTGAAATGCAGCTGAGTTGAGTCTCATCACTGTTTTAACATACTTAAGTTTTACGCAGTCAGCTTTACCATCTTCTTTTGTACGATAGCAGATTTTAGCCTACTTCCTTAATTGCTAAGGTTAGGCATTAATCTTCAAAAGAAAAATACATCTAAGAAGATATAGTATTTAAAAAGGGTGGTGATCACTCTATAGAAAAAGGAAGGGGTAAAAAACCCAGCTTCTGAACAACGCAAAACCTGTATAAAGCGTGAGGTCCCAGAGAAATAAAGTAAGTCAGAGCTGTTTGATCAAAACTCCCCAGACCCTGAGTCAGAACCAATGTTTCACAAATGTGCACAAGTTTGACAAGATCCAGAGCTCCAGCTGCCATTTCCCTAGCCAAACATCTTTTCTCCGGCTCCTACTGTGCTGCTTCTCTGCCTGCTCGTTTCCACCTCCCGTGTTTCCTGTGTGGGCTCCCCCAGCCATCCCTCCACGTTTCCCTCTGCCCAAGGTTCACTCTCACCCCCCCACTTTCTGCACCCCACAAGTCCTACTCCATCACCTTTTCCTCCTTGGCCCTGTCCCACCCACCACAGTTGCTTCCCTCTGTGGTCTGGGGCTTCCTTCCCAACCCCAGGGAGGCAGATGCCAGAGGGCAGAGCCAGCGCCTGGCAGGGCACTGAGCCCTGAGGGAAGGCTATGGCTAGGCCCAGCCTCACCTTCCTCCAAGGCATCCCAGCTTTAATCAACCAGCCCTCTAGAAGGACAGGACCCAGATTGCCCACAGACTCCACAAGAAGACAGAAATGAACCTGGATGCTTTGTTCCAGCAAATACAGCTCACAGAAAAGCAGGCAGGGGAGAAGAGGCGCCTCATCCAACAAGGTCAGCACCATGGACGCCATCTTGTGCAGTGCCGTCCACACTTAATGGCCTCTCCAGTTCCTGGAGGAAAAGCAGGATGGCCCCACCATGCTGTCGTGAGGGGACCTTTGTCAGCGAAAGCTCGGCAGGCAGCCTGCTGGCTGCTTCTTGCCAATGGCACGTTTTTATACGAATGTAACTTTTTCAAACTGAGCACACAGTCTTAGAGATTTTTGTTGTGTTGCAGCTAAATTCGACATAAACAGAAGTTATGAAAAAATTAACCAAATAAAAGAAGAGCTGAGTACTGCAAAAATGAAATTAGAAACTAAGGTAAGCAGGCATGTTTATAGTATACATAATAATGAAATACATTATATTTATAAATATATGACCTATTCTTTCACAAATAGATTCATAAACACTTTCAGGGAGTTGCTTCAGCTACTGAATAACACAGCATTGAGAAAACTTACACTGTGCATGTCTGTAGTGAAAAAAGGTCTGTCAACATCTTTCCCCTCTTACGAATCTCATGCTTCAGGCTGGCCCCTGGCTATTTTCAGGGACTCGCTTAGATCAGGGGTAGGGGCATTTCCAGATAACACTTCCAAAAATCTGGAAGCACTGGGGACAGCACACCTGCACGTGAAAATCTCTCCTGCTCTGCAGAAAGAGCTCGGCAGGGAGCGACCGCCATGTCAGGTCGGTCCATCCACCAGTCACAGCCACCAAACGTCGGCTGGGGGCCGACTGGTCAGGTGCGGTGTGAGCGTCTCTGTCTTAACCGTCCTGGAGCTTGTTGTAGCACTTTCCTTCAGGGGCCCGGAAACCATTCCTTTGCTGCCCGTTGCCATGCACTAAAGGTCTTTTGCAGAAAATATATGGAAGCATTCCCTGTGTTTACTTCACAGGATCTTGAGGCGTATGCTAAAGGTCTTCCTGTGAGCCCATGCTCACAGTTAGGGCTCACAAGGTCTAAGAGTTTTTTGAGGGACGCCGAAGACAGAGGAAAGTTTCTGAATCGATGTAATGTTTTTGAGACTTTATTATGCTTTCCTTTGAACCAAAATGCAGACATATTTTTAGATTAAGCTTCCAGTTGCAGAGCCTTTCACCATTAATACCTGTGGTTACAAATGATTTAAAAATCCATTTGCTTGTGCCTGAAAATTAAGTCTAAATATCATCCCCTGTGCTCTTCCGTGTCTGCGCTGGCAGAATGTGTACGCACAACAGGAAGGCATACGGAGCCTCCTTAGAAGTCAGAACTGTTCTATCCCTTCACTTAAATAAACATCTTCAAGAACCTTTGGGGGATTACCTCACCTAGTTGTGAAAATAAATGTTTGGGGGATGATTTTCATCCTTCCAAAACCAGCCTCCTCTGCCTTTTGTAAAAGACTATGTAATATATACATAACAAATATCAGTATTACTGGAAGGGGGGCAGAATAAAAGAGAACTCATTTACAAATATTTACTGGTTGCAAATTGAGACTATAATCAGGCAAGCAGTTATTCACGTGTTTGCATTTATACATGCCATGATCTCAGAGCCTAAAAGGACTTTAGAATGTAACTTATTTAACCAACACACATTGTATCTGGGTGTTGCTTGTTAGGGAAAGTCCTTTGTAGTCTTGCTCATAAATTTATTTATGAACACCACAATTTTATGTTCATACTACTAATTTGTTATTGATGCATTGTGATTTATAATCAAGGTTTATATGCTAGGTACAGAGGATCTCAAGAGTAGAGCCATTATTATAAAAGGCTAACGGGAAGAGCTGAAGAACTATTCCTAATTAAATCTTACGTGTTTTACCCACCAGGATTAATAATATTCTCACTGACGTCCACAAAAATATTTTTTACTTGCTTGCTTAGTCTGACATTGATTCATTTACAGATATGAAATTATACAGAAAACAAGAAGAATGGGAAAATGCATTTCAATCAGACTGTATTTAGGTTTAAAGGCTATACAGTTATTGAAATTATTTAAAGTAAATTGTTTTTCAGTACAGGAATTAAGTTTACATATGTCTATAATAGTTAATGTAATTCAAGTAACATTAAATAATGCTGTTCAGCTAATGCTGTTCAATTTGTCCTGCACTAAATAAGTGCACTTCTTTTTAAGCATACATATCCAAGCACAGGCATGCACAGCAGCTTATGCCTGACCAAGCAGATAAGACTGAGTTCAAAAGTGTTTTGACATCTATTTCACAGACACTGTCTGTGGTCAATCAAAGGTTCCTAGGAAATGCTACTTTTTTCTTCCATTCAGTAAAAGCAGGTAGCATGTAATTAGAATCCAAATTACAGCATTTTGCTTTTCATGGCTCAATGATTTCTTAAAAAAAATCTGTTGCAAATGCGTAGATTAAGTTGACATCTTACAAATGGAGAAATTATATTGCAGCTAGTTCTGTTCACTAATATAGACACAGACCATCCACTGTCTTTGAATTAATATCTAAAATAAATATTTCTGAGGCAAGCACTTCCTGGACACTTAGCATGTCGAACATATCAGAGATAAGGAAAAAATCTGGTCCTTTCCTTTCCAACTCTCACATTCTAGTCTTAGAGCGTTTGATTCCACTATCCTCCTCCTTTTTTGATCAGATGCACTTCATCCACACTCTCTCCAAAATAATCTACATTATTTCATTATACAATCTTTTCATTTTTCCCTCTGTAACATCACTATTATTTGGTCTTTTCTGCTTCTGCACACACAAACAGTCATGTATCAGCCTGATGATTCAATTTACTTCCTAATGTTTACCCTGTGCCTTTTACAGTCTTTTGGCCATTCTGATAACTTTACTTTCCCTACTCGTTGTTCTGAGCATTACATTCTGAGTCATTCTCTTGAACTCCTTTTCTCTACTTCATCAGATGAATGATTCTTGCCCTTTAAGACTTTTCAACACTTAGCTCTTCCCTATTTATCTGCTGTTACAGTTTATCTCACCATATATCTTAACTTAGGTTAGACAATAATACAGTAGATGTGCTGGAAAATCAAGAAGAACTCTTCAGCAAATTTTGAAAATGCAGTAGTTGAACATCATACCCTTCTATCACATAAACTACGGTTTAAAATTAATAAAACTAAAAATAAAACAATATGCAAAATACAGGTTTGGGGCTTGGAGGGTTATGGTTGAACTGTCTTTAACCAATGAGCTAATTTCTGTTGCACTTCCTTGGCTAAGAATTCCAGAAATTGTGTTCAGAAAAATATGAGCATATCCCTTGCTCCTTTGCCTACGCAATAGTAGCATGGCAGAGTTGATGTGTACAGCCATTCAGTCAGAACAATGATGTTGGACCCCTCTCCCTCTGATACTACTGTCTGATTTAGCACGTGATGAGCTTTACACAATTAGATGGAGGACACTGTATTATGTTGGGTAAAAGGTCCTATGTGATCAATATTTTTCCTGGGTTTAACTTGAAAAAATTTCTCCTAAACTGAACAGACTTTAAAATGCCATTTTAAATAAATGGACCAGCACTAAATGTGTCTTTTAAAGAAAGGATGCTTTCCAGAAGCTTAGTGGTATATTGGAAGATTATTGGGAGAAAAAAGAGCTGTTGTGCTTTTGCTAGTGCAGCAGATGTGCCAGATGTGTTTCAACTGGACCAAGATCCTTATGTACAATATCAAAGTATATGAAACAATAAAACAATAACCTTAATTTATAACCTCTTTTTTTTCCCCCTCTCTTGGAAGGTTCAGCATCTGTTTGAAAAATGGTTCTACTTAGAAACTCTGAAGAAACGTGAAGACAGCCTAGAAAAACAGAAAGCTGAACTTATCAATCAAAAAGACATGCTTCTTAAAATCTTTGTATGTTTCCAGCTATGGTATTCAGACAGTTCTTTTCTATTGTGAGAATAGGCAGCCTTAAAATTTGAAAATATGCAAGAAATAATATTTTAAATCTGCAAAAAATCAATTTTATATTTTTTCACGCTTACATACTTAACAATGTAAATGTAGCTGAATTCTCACTTTCAGTTTAAATAATGATCTAAGGTAATGTATGCTACAGTTTATCTACAAAGCTGATTTAACGTTCTTGACTTCATTTTCTATGTCTGCTGTTTTATGACTGAACTCCAGTTCTGACATTTCCTTTGTAAAAGAAAACTAGGATAGTCTCACCTTAGATTGGACTGCTGCATATTGAGAAGGATCAAAGGAGAAACTCAGGCAGGCAAACACCACATTTTAGGAATCCCGATGTATTGCACAATCTCTTTGATGCTAGGCACACCTAGCTACCTCTTAAAAGGTAGCTACTTGCAACATATACAGACAACAAGCTTTTTAGTTCTCTCTTGTGCTAACCTGAATATTGCCTTCCTTTACTTCATTGAGGATCCTTGGATCTGTAGATACTAAGAAACACCACAGATGAGTAGTCTTCTTTGCATATGTATTTGTACTTTAAATCAGCAGAGCTGAATTTTAAACTTTCAGTATGAATCACCAGTATTAACTCTAAATCTTTAGGCAGATAGCCTTTTAAATTAAGTAATATTTCTTCAGCATCCAAAGCATTCCCAATCATCAGTATACAAAGAAAGAAAGAAAAATAGAATAAATATTACTAAGTATCATAGAAAAATTATGTAGCTGTAAAAGTTAATTATCCTTTGAAGAAGTGTGAAGTTCCTTTTAATTGTAACCAGTCAAGTTGGATATATAGCTTATAATTTATTTCTTTCTGTATATAGGCATACTTTCTTTTTATTTAATTCAGCAATCAGTTAAGATTTTTTAAAGGAATTTAATATTGCCATTCTCTGTAGAATATTTTTCCAGAAAATGAAACAGTGACTTCCTACCAACTATAGCTATATTGGTAGTTATTAAGGGAGTTAAAGTAAGTCTGCATTTTGCAGAGGAACAAATACTACCTTTATTTCATTTAACAATCTAAAAAAAGAGTGGCCATACTATGCTATTGACTTTAAACAGAACTTTCTACTAATTTCAATAAAGACTTGAACAGAAAAACTGCTGGCTCAACAACAGTAATTGATTTTCAAATATTTTATTGTTAAGAATATATCCTTCACTATTACAGAAACAAAAAAGGTTAAAACAACAGACAAAATGGTACAGCTGTAGAACATTTTCATGTTCTCATAAGTCAGTAAAAGTAAATATACTACATTTATACTCCAATTCTACGGATAAATAAACAACAACAGTGTATTTCAGTCTGCCTAGATTAACAAAAATTTTCTTGTTTTCATTTGAACATTCAATTTTCCCCTTCTTTTTTTCAGACAGACGCGAAGCGAAAAATGACTGAAGAGGAAGATAATTTTACTAGAGAAATAACAGAGTTTAACAATGAGTATGGACTAACAAGTAATAGAGATCTTCTGATTAAAAAAAAAGTCAAGTTTGAAATAAATGATTTAGAGAACGAGGCAGCTCTGTTGAAAAACGGTAAGTCTTATATTAAATTATTTTATCTTGGATTACCAGAGAATGAATACAAATCAGTAAAATACAGCTGTGCAAAACAACAATTTTAATTCCATTCCCTTGCTGTCTGGAACTTCCTCTTAACACTAAACTGAAAGAGCGTGGTCTGATGTACCACATTACAAAAGCATAGTTAAAGCCTCTTCTAGTCCATATCCTCTTGAGTCCTTTCTGACTACGAGCACTGTGAAGAGAAGAAGCAGACCTGCAGAAGTGGCTCCCAATGTCTAATGTCAACCAGCACAGAGGTGCAGTCAGACATAACCTACTATCTTAGGTTTGCAATGATTGCAATCACCTATGGCTGAGCTATGTAAATTTCCTTAGCTTCAAAAGAGTTATATCCACAGATGCCTTGTAGATTTTTGCCTATTCAGGCAGGTCTTTTACTGCCACAGTATAACTTTATTTTTGAATTAAGATACGGGATATGATATTCCTCAGAACAGAGATTCAGACTGAAAAGCAATCCTTCAGCAAGGAAATAGAAGTTGTCATGGATCACAAGCTGAACACGAGTCAATGACATCAGAATGCCAACACCATACTGAGACATAAACATACTCTGACCTCTAAGACATGCAAAATAATCCTTCACTCTATTTAGGGCATTTAAGCTCTTAGCTGGAGTACTGTGCATCTAGTTTTGGACATTGCACTTCAAGAAAAAATGTGGACCAGCTGGAGAGAATCCACATGAGACCAGTGAGAGTGAACAGAGATCTGAGGCACATGAGAAGGAAAAAAAATAAAGAATTGAGACTATTTAACCTATGGAGGAAATGCCTGATGCAAGATGGATATCAGTCTTCAAATCTTGAAAGGGTTCTGTAAAAAGGGAATTAATATATTCTCCATACTTATTGTGAGCTGAATAAAAAGTAACAAGTGTAAACCACAATAAAGGAGAGTCTGTCTGGTGTTTGCAAATCTTTCTAAGAACAGTGAACAACTGAAACACTCCGCCTTAGGAGATTCCATTACCAAAAGTCTTTAAGAACAGGTTAGACAAGCATCTGTAAGAAATAACAGAGGTATAGTTGATCCTGCCTTCAGGAGGAGGAATGCAGTAGACGACCACTCAAAGTCCTTTCCACTTGCATGATTCTATCATTCATCAAACGCCAACAGTTTGAATTCTGAATTTCTGATGCAAAGTTACTGAAATATGATTGTCCATTTGAGTTTGTACTTGGTGGTACCTTCTTTCTGTATTTCCTGTGTCTCTGATTCTGATCTACAATGGAAAAAAAAAAAGTCTGTTTTTAGTGGCACCTGTTACTTTTAATGTTTAATTTTTGAATATTCAGACAGATCTGATCAATCAAATGGTGTCTCAAAGGTTAGATCAGTAGGGTATGAAAGGTGACTAGCATCCTTCTCTGTGTTTGTTGCTGCCTTGATTCCATCCTTTTAAATTGCACATTTTTAAGGTACAACTTGTCTGTCTTTCTGTCTGTTATAGTCCTGAGCACACTGATGACACTAAAGAGAAAAGTTTAAGTAACTTATAATAAGGAAATAATGTGAGGACCTCCAGTTGTCAGGGAAGCAATCACAATTAATTCCAGATGCTGTCAACGATCAGGTTCAAATGTCCGTAACACTAAA